CTTGTAGTGAAGCATTACATAGTACTGAATATAAACGTAATTATAATGAATGAATTAGAATTACTTCTATCTACAAATTTTTAACTAGCATATTATCAAGAGAATTAGTTCAGTCCATGTGTTGATAGTAAACATTCAAGTAAACTATATCGTTTGATATATTTCACAGTGAAAATTCTAGAAATCTCACATGATCTAAGAATGATTTATCTTTTGTTAATCACTTATTATTGTTACAAGTAATAAACAAAGTCTCCATTTATCTAAAAAAAACCCCACTAAATACTTAGTTTTTAAATCAATAAATCACAAGTTACTAAGATCACTAGGCATATTCTTATTAAAATATCGATAAATTATTTCTATGTTCCACAAAACAAAAATCTTTTGATAGTTATTAATTAATCAATAATTGGACTTCTGTTGTCTTGTTTTGAAAATGTTTGCTTGTTTATCAAAGTACCGTCTTTAACATATTTTTTTAATAGAAAAATTGTATTTCAAAAGATTAGTTTTATGGAGTGTTTGTCCCCATTCAAATGAAACTATCTCTTTCAGTAACAAATTAAATATTTTTGGTTTATAAACTTGAATTCCAGTTGAGATTACTTTAAAATATGACACTCATATATAGATAATCATGCAAAGAGTTATAGATTATCTACTTACTTAATAACTTACTTATGCCTGTTACTCCTCGTGTTGGTAGATGCAGACTACTTGGTTGGGGTCCGCGTGACTATCGTAACCAATGGTTGGAGACTCTTGGTGACATGGCTCAGAATCCATCACAATGGCGTCGGTGTATACACTCTATATCTTCCCTTAAACTAAGAGATTAAAATCGCTTCATATCTTTCTTTCTACGAACTAATTCTTTCTTCCTGTACTATATCCTTATTGCAATCTTTCTTTTATATATTACCATCTCTGAATTAACTACTTTTATGAATCCGGTGTCCATCTTGTTGTGTTAATGAGGTATGGCAACTTGGACCGATGCATAAATGTGCCTGGTCCTACGTTGTCGCTGACTAACTGACTGACTCCTCGTGAACAAGCATAAGTCAGTCACCAGCATTCGCCATCTAACCCTATCCTGGGCAATCCATTTCAGCTCATTCCAGTCATTATTCATCCTTTTCATATCTACTTCTATTTCCCGAAGTAATGTGTTCTTTGGCCTTCCTCTTTTGCGCTTCCCTTCAGGATTCGAAGTTAGGGCTTGCCTCGTGATGCAGTTTGATGATTTGCGTAATGTATGCCCTATCCATTTCCATCGTCATTTCCTAATTTACTCTTCGGCTGGAAGCTGGTTTGTTATTTCCCAGAGAAGGCTGTTGCTGATGGTATCCGGCCAATGGATGTTGAGTATGTTGGATAGACAGCTATTTATAAATACTTGTACCTTTTTGATGGTGATTGTTGTAGTTCTCCAAGTTTCAGCTCCGTACAGTAGAACTAACTTTGATATTGGTTGAAAGTTGTTTTGAGTTCCATATGTTCTTCAATTGTAGGAATGCCGTCCTTTATTTGCCAAACCTCGCCTTTACATCTGCATCTGATCCTCCGTGTTCATCGATGATGCTTCCCAGTTACGTGAAGGATCCTACATCTTCCAGAGTTTCGCCATCAAGTGTGATTGGGTTGGTGTTCTCCGTGTTGTATTTGAGGACCTTTGTTTTCCCCTTGTGTATGTTGAAGCCTACTGATGCAGAGACTGCTGCTACACTGGCTGTCTTCATCTGCATCTGTTCGTGTTATGCGATAGGAGGGCTAAAGAGTTATAGCTACAAACGTTTATTTTGTGTATATAATCTGAATGAACTATGATCTCTATAATACTTTAGGTTTTTGAGGTTCTTCGTAATTATGTTTTTAAATGTGCACTAGTGAAAACATAAGTATGTATTAAATGCTCTCTGTAACTTAATGGGTTTTCAACTGACGTTCATTCGTCGACGAAATTATTCAGAAAATGTATATTATGATTTTATGTTAATCATTTACAGGTTTTGGATAAAGTCATAAGAAAATGAAATGATTGTCATCGTCAGTTAATTCACTGACTAAGATATTAAGCCAATTGAAAATTACAATTTGAAATATATCAGAAATGAACAGTTACGACATCGTAAGGAATCTAGTTCTTAAATTTATAATCTTGATATGATTTAAGTACTTTTAAAATAATAAATAGGAAACTGATAGTTTTAACATTGTCTGTTGTTGATACAGGTCAAACCTCAACGGAAATCTTCACATGATCTTTATTTATGTGGGAAGTGTTTTATGACTATTCTAAAAAACAATATATCATTTTAGAAAGTTTAACATACTATTGTTAAACAAATTGTTTATATCTCGCTAACGGGATCGTGGATGTGTACTGCTGAAGAGGCCCACAATAGGACGAAACAACCGTCCGTTGCTTCCAGGTTTTCAATGCTAGTCTAACACCAATCAATTTATGATCTTAATCAAAAACAGTTGATAGCGTTTTATTATAGTTTATAGTTGGGGAGTTTCTTTTATATTACAGGAATAGTTAGTTGTTATTATTTAATTGAAATGATAATTCTTGTGTGTGACCACTCTGGATAGCCTTTTCAAGGATTTTTAACCTAATGAAATCATTTATAAATGTCGTAAATATATTTATCTTCAAAATGTTTGAAACTTCACAAAATATTCTACAAAAAGAAGGTTGTGAAATGAGTAAAGCATGTTATTATATAATAAAAGCTTTATGTAAAATTGGCTAACTAGATCATGATAAACCATTTTCAAAGTGATAAAGATTTAAGATGAACAATTGAAAACCAGGAACAGTAGATAGAAACTCGGTACTAATTCCATAATGTTTATTAATATATTCACATAATATCATAAGTAACAGAACTATTGGGTCATTGAAGTGTCACTCATCGGTTTATATATTTAACGCTAATTAATTTGTTACAGGTTGTACTGTCAATTTTAAAATAAATTCCTATAGCACCTTAAATCAGACTGTAATTTCAACCTGATATGACAGAAAGAAATGTCAAAATTAGATTGATTTATTCATTATAATTTTTGTTCAACATTATTTCTGTTTTAATTCAATGCCGTGATTACTCAGTGTAGTACTTGTTTCTGTTACCCTGTATGACATTTTATTCTCTATAACGTACGATATACTATGCTCAGCATGACATGTAGCATATGATTTGTTATAACTGTAAGTATTTTTCATATATGTGATTTCATCCTAAATACTAATCAGTATATAAATGAGTGTATTTTAGACTAGGGTCGTCGTCGTTTTTTGGGGTTAACAAAATTTCGCTTGTATCAGCCTTTGTATTCTTATTTTCGCACCGTAGGAATCGCAGTGGTTCCTCGCTTTATAAGTATAAGTGATAAGCTATTCTGACATCATAATCAGTGACGATGAGATATAACAATTGATGACACAGTCATAACAGTCGATCACCAGTCATAACACAATTGATTCATATTTGTTTACATGTTACTGCTTTATTCTTATAGTCTCTAGATAAAAAGTCTCGGCATATAAGTGACGAAGAGTGGAAATTGAAAAATATATTCATCAAATTAGATCTATTCAGTTACAAATAATAATTTTGGTTTGTAAGCAGCTGACGAGAAACCTCGAAATAATATGAATTCATACTATTCTGCATCAATGTCTGTTCTTACTCTATTTAAATTTCTGAAAGACTTTGGAATTAGTCAACTTTTAAGACATAAATTAAAAAACAAGATATGTAGTTAAAACAGCAAAATGGATATAATTTACCCATCAAATCTCATTAACAAAGTCTATGATAGAAGTCGAAATCATGTTTTCAAATATTCATTTCAGAATTTATAACAACAAGGAAAAATACGATCTACCTGTAAAAATTCAATGCTATTTTAAGATATATTTTGACTTATTACTTGCATTACTAAGTTTATATGAACTGAATATCCAATTTGGGGTTTACCTAAAACGATATATATTGAGTAGTTTGAGTAATAATATGTATTTTGGATATATGCCAAATAAAACTAAACTACATATTTAAAGTTTATAATAATAAACTCAAGTATTTATTAAAATCAGTTGATGTTTAAATTAAAATGTTTTGGATCTGTTAAGAGAGTACTGAATTCACATATTCAAACTTGTAAGTAAAATCGTCAATTCATTTAATGACTGTTTTTACAATTATTATTTTTTTTCTAGTTAGCGTCTTTTTTGGGCGAGTAGCCTAGTGGGACTAGAATAATAATACTAACGCAACGTTATAATGAAAACTTGTGGAGTTAATAATTACAACTTACTTATGCTCCATTGGGGGGTTGTAATTATTAACTCCACAAGTTTTTATTATAAGGTTGCATTGGGATTATCATTCTAGTCTCACCAGGCTACTTATCAGTTAAAATGGATAGTGTAATATGATATCTGTTATATCTAGAGCTTAGATTCTTAATATACTGCGTAAAACTTGAGCACTTGAACTCTAGAACCTTTGCAATTCGCAAATCAGAAGATAAAAGACAAGTGAAAGGACTTCTATTTAAAACAGTGTAAATTATGGTACAAAACTGTCGGGTATTTATAGTTTTTAGTAAAAACGAAATCATCATTATAGTCTTCCGATCCGCACACAGAGGGCTATTAGCATTTGTCTAATAAGGAAGCTACACGTATGGATTCTGCGATATTCTTCTAAAAGATGATTGGATGGAATATCTTCGGTTCTTTCTGAGCTTCTTAGAGCTTCCTCGGGTTCACATGTGGGCCGTCCTCACAATATCATTAATTGAACATTATTAACTTGTAATGAGGTAGTCATGAAGATCTGTTATGAATATATTTGTCCAGTTTAACAATTATACGTTTGACTGCTAGAAGGTAATTGAGGTTACGTCATACTGAATAATGAATGAATATTTTGATGAAACAAAATAAACGTCTTACACAATTTCCTTTTTCATAACAGGAAATGTATCTGTAAAACAGGTGATTGGTTTAATCATTATACTGAAACAAAAGAAACCAGTCCGTTAAAAATTGATTTAAGATTTGAACCACTTCAAAATAATCTACGTAAGACAAGTAAGTTTATGCAATGATTTGCCAGTGACAGCTTTTATTTTTATAGAAGAATCAGGGGAGAGTATAAAGAAAAAGAGTAAAAGTGTTTTACAAATAAATTATTAGTTCATCGCAGTTGAGTAAATAACTCGAATTGTATGCATTTGGTTAAAAGACAAAGTAATAAGAATATATTAAAGCTATTATTTTGAGATTAGGATTTGTTGATGAAGACGTTTTGGGAATTACAGTTCATGAACAGAATGTTTTTTATAGAGTTTTGTCAACTACTTAGTTGAATATACGTTAGATAATATTTGAAGACGAATTTAAAGTGATAAGTTTAGGAGCTATGAAGATGAAAGAATACTTGTTTTATCTTGTTGAATATATACCTTGTGCTTTGTCAATGTATAACGTAATGATACCGCCAATTAGAGAACAGTGAATTATCGACCGGACTAATGCCGCATAAAACCCGTACGAGCAGTCTAGATTACTTATCGGTCCTGCTTCCTGCCTAGCCCTGACTGTTATGTCCAGAACATCAATCTCAGCCTCTGCGATATGAATCATTTATTTCAAACACACTGAGTTTATATATAATCCAAACAGACCACATCGTACCATAAAATAGGAGACAACATTTGTACAAGATTTAGCCAAATATGGCTGTGAATGTGGGAGATAGTAATTGATAGACAGGGCATAACTGAAAAAAAGGTAAATCGTATAATAACAGTTCATAGGTCAAAATAAAGCTTATGGTAAGAGGAACACGGATATGAATAGTTTAGCTACTTAATAATTATACAATAAAAATACATGTATCGTATTAGTTCATGAATAGTTCTCAAAAGTTACCATTCATAATATATTCGATGCTCAGCAATCGCCAAATTAAGTTATTGAAAATGAATGATTAAACGTTATAAGTGGATTCATTATAGGTAGTAGTTGTTACGATCAGATGTTCAAGAATCTATAAATATGTTGACCTTAAATGATGTCTATTAAATCATTGGAATAATAAAATAAATTAATTATAATTATTTCATTTTTGTACGCTTTTAATTTTTCACGTTGCTAATGTTAATATGTGCAATTGATCAATCTATTTTAGCATATATGCATCCTGAGTAGATTGGATTAATATTGCTAGTAAATATCCAACTTTGCATATAAGTGCTTGTAACTTAGTGGAAATACCGAAGTGATGTTCTCAGTAAGCATTTATAAGTACATAAATAAGAGTGATCAATTTCAGTCCTCAACATTAACAACTGGAAGATTTAAATACTTAAAAGTGGAATAATACTTTTCCCTGTCAGACAAGCTGATGTCTGCCTGAACTCAATAGTTAAATGGATAGCTGAAGTTTGAAGCAAAATTTATTGGGTTCGATTAGTATAGTGAACATCACTACTGAGAAGCATGTACATCCAACAGATTAGTTCAAAATTGGACAAAATATGTATCCTGGATCCCACTGTTAACTATGATTCAACTTTGTATCAAAATTAACTATAATAATTTCTTAAAAAGAAATGAAATAAAATTTCTTTCATGAATGTAAACTACAGTGTGATTCATTTCTGAAAAAGAAATATAAATCAATAAATTATTCTCGGAGTTCTGGTGAGAAGCCGTGACCAGTGGAGCTAATCCGTGTCGGGAAGAAACAGGTATCTGCCTCAGTACAATGGAAGATGTTGGCGCAATTTCGTGGATTGGTTGAGGTCGGACATTAAAACCATTGGATGCCGGCTCAGTGATCTAGTTGGTTAAGCGCCTGGCGCCAGGATGATAGGTCCTGGGTTCGAATCTCGCGGGGTGTGGGATCGTGGATGCGCACTGCTGAGGAGTCTCATACTGAGACGAAACGGCCGTCCAGTGCTTCGAAGTTCTCCATGGTGTTCTAGCTTCAGTTGTCTCATGATTTCAACCAAAAAACTTAACAATCTCCACAACAGTGAAACTGAAAATTTTTGTAATAGAAATAATTTTTTGATTAGGTTACTAACCATAATTATCTGTGTAAATGTATATTTTAGAAAGTGAAGTGATTTCAAAACTGAATAATTCATCAAAAAATATTGCTGTGAGTTCTATACATAAACTAATTATTTTATTCATGTAAATACGGCGAGAGTATAATTTATGAATGACCTTTGAACGAGTCCCAAGTGACCTTGAGAAGTATTAGTCAATCAGAAAAGAGTTAGTACTGTGTAAAAGTATTTTATACAAAATCATAGAATTAAAGTGGATACACTTCTCTTACATGGTTTGAAAACTTGTCAAGGGTAAAAGGAGATTCAGATGTTCTAAAATCATAATGTATACAGTAGAGGAAATCATCTGTATGGCTCCATAAAAATCGGCCTCTGGAGCCATAATAAGGTTGCAAAAGCTTTTTCAGCCTCAACTACGTAGCTCCGGTTGTTGAGTCCACAAAATGCCGCTTGTGGATAACGACACGATGCACATAACCAAGTCTATGTAGTCATCTGTACGCTCTTTAATCATCCGCATATATTGAAGTACCCAGCACCAGCCAATGTTACTGTTGCTTTTATTATTCAATTCGAAACAATTATCATGATTTGGCTTAGTCTCAATCTGTAGTCTGCACAAGGTTCACAAGTCATTTGATTACCACAATCACAAATAAAGATACTTCTTAAAAGTCCCATTCGTTGTAGCCGCTCAATTATCACGTTTTCTCCAAACTTCGCTGAGAACCGATCGTACGTGAGCATCAGATACTGAAATTGGCACCGTGACCTAGAAATCTCTTGGACGCTTCTGATTGGCTCCTTCATAACTAATAGTCTCACCTCTACACATTCTTGAAATAGTTATCGGTAACTATCGCTAAAGATATTTTATAATCTAAATATAACTGAATTAAAAATAGACTTAGTCTCTAATCAGCACAAAATCTGTATGAATAAAAGTCTGACGGAAAAAATTGCAAAAAAAAAAGATTATAAAATTTTAAAATGTATTCACAGTGATGTTATAGTTAATTATTAGGATAGCTAAAGACATTTCTGAAAGTAAGATGTTAGTTATAGTTCCACATGTATTTGACTGGATGCAAATAAATTTTAACTATGATAACTAATGCCATCCTATACGTGTACGTTAAACGAATGGAGCTCAATGAATATCCTTAATTAGATTTTCGGCAAAAGTTACAAATAGCTTATGAAAACATGTATGAATCATAGGTTGGAAGCTTTTAATGAGTGGTCTGAAATATTCCATATGATGTTAGATTGTCAAAAGATTTCTAATGATGTCAGAGAAATATAACTTTAGGCTTTTTTTCAATGTCTGAAAGTATAGTGGGGTACAGGTATGAACATTCAAAACATTGTGAAAAAGCTAATTGGATCTACGTATTTATACTATATGTGTGTATACATACGGACTTGTATTAAGCATTTTAATAATAAGATCATGTCAATGAATAGAACTGTACTAGTTGCTTTGTAATTAGATATTCGATATTCGTGGTTAAAGGTTTAGACATATGAAAACAATATATAAATATTCACCTAGCACTCTGAATATACTTTTTCTAAAAATCCAACGTCGCCACAAAAATCTTTTTAATTTTTACAATTAATAACATTAATCAACATGTAGTTGTCTCTAAACTGTAGACAATGTATACTGAATTTCAAGTGTATCGAGTTAAATTAATCAGTAATATGATTCCAATAGTAGTTTCGAAGTTAATGAAGAATATAACTTCCATTTTCACTATCTCAGACATTAGGTGCATTTTTATTTTTTTTTTGTAGAACTCACTTTCTAAACCAAGTAAGTTACATTTTTTGATAGAATTTCCATTTATAAACATTTTTGAATAGTTCAATAACCTACTAACCAGTATTTAATCTTATATAAAAGTTAGGATGTTATTAAATTTACTCGGTATTGTTTACTTGAACCTTCTTATTAATGTTCAGGACTGCAATTGATCAGTCTCTTATTGGCATATGTGTATACTGTGTGTATTGTCACGATGTTGCCTTAATTCACAAGCATTATAAGCAAAAATGGATAGTGGCCAGCAGTGGAATCCAGAACTCGCGTTTCTTCGTATTTAGGACTCTTCAGCTGGATGCCAAGTGAATAACCCGATGCTGTTTGAAGCAGACGGTACTAGGTTCGAGTCCCAGAGTGAACATCAACTCTGAGATGCAGGTACATGCAGCTGACGACTCCCAAATAGGACGAAACGCGCGTTCTGGATTTCACTGCTAGTCACTATCCATCTTAGAACGTTATTTGTTCACAAAATATATAGTTTATCCAAATATATGTATATTAAAATCCGTACAACGAATGAACTTGTTAATATCATCTCTCTATATTATGTGGATTGATTCTAGAATACATAAGAACGTATTGTTCACTATGGATAAAATAAGCTATTGAATAACCAGTCTATCCAAATTATCCTCTAAACAATAAATTTCGTTAGCACTGGAATAATTATCCATAGAACTATTTAGAATATAAATGTACAAAATTTAGAGAAATAATGTATTAATTGTGAATAGGTATTATAAAATAATTGAATTAGACGGTCAAATCATTTGTGCTGTTTTTAACTCTCCCGTGATTGAGTGTTATTCAGTTAATTGACTTACAAATCTCGGTTGAAATTTTAACTAATGTTGCGAATGGAAAAAATATAAATAACGGTTTGATGTTGTTAGGTTCAGGGTTTCCTGTTGACTACCTCTAAACATCGTCTTATCTTAACATAGTGCACTCATTTTCGAGTCACCTAAACTAGCGGCCACATTGAAACTTGGTCGATAGGATTCGATTTGCATTAAGAAAGACCTGACATATATGACATTGATCATTACCCAGTGATCAATCAATTGTATATCATTATCGTAGACATAGTTTCAGTTGATATATAACTATCAACTGCTAAAAACATTAACTTAAATTTGTATTGACGTAACCAGTTTCAAAAAATAAAAGCGATATAAGCTTTGTATTGTGTAGTAACTTGCATTCAACGTCTTATAACATAGATGGAGTTAAGAATGAAATGTCTAATTTAGATGATGACACTCCAACTGAAACTGAACAATTCAGTGGTGAAAATTGAAAATAGGGATTAAGGAAACTTTTATCGACATATTTATGACTGTTAATTATTATTATTATTATGTCAATTGAATTGCTCTCAGAAATAAATAAAATAATATATTTGTAATATCCCAATGAGTAGAAAATTGGATTTTCTGACGTTTCGTGGCTTAGTGTAAGTCAATTTTCTACTCATTGGGATATTACAAATATATTATTTTTATTTATAACAATCAACCCAATGCTCAATTTATTCGAAATTATCAAATCAAACCTTGGTAATGACACCTACATGCTCTCAGAAAGTTAATATCTTCATTATGTACTCTACATATTATGATAAGAAAAAAGTAAATGATGTAGACATAGTTAAAAATAAAATAGATTTACTTTTCATTCATTTCCAGTTCTTATTCAAATTTTCGTTCATGTATATTCACATTAATAAAAAGAATAATAGCTTTGTAATAGACAATCATCTCTGTTTAGTTGGCTCTGCTTTCATGTGTAATGAATATAATAGGTTTATTATTCACTGATTGGTTACAGTTGTCAAACGAAAACTTAATAACTATGTACAACATTGAAATTAAAATCATTATTACTACTTTACAATATCCATGTAATCACTAACTAACATGTTCAATAGAAGTTCACTATCACTTGAAATAATTTAGATTTAAGCTTTAAACGCGTTTGTGTATTATGCTTAGTTCGAAATGATTAAGTGAAACTAAGTTATGAAACAATATTCAAATTGTATTTAATCTGTAGCTTGTAATCAGTTAAGAAATCGATTCGGGAATCATTATCAAAAATTTATTGATGAAAGCTTATTCTACATTTTGATATGGTCACTAGTTTTCTGATTATTTTATTGAGCAATACACATGTACTTTAATCACTGACCATTTATTTTTCAGGTGATGAGAATGAGAAGAGCTCATTCAATCAAATGGTGAGTTTTATGTTTTCTGTAGACACTTCATAATATAAACTATATGACTAAAAAATCATTTTAGACTTCAAAAGAACTGATTTCGTGATGATAATTAGTGAACATTTTAAAAGGTTAAGATGCTAAAATTAAAAAAAGTTTTTGTGTTACTGAGGAGTAGATCCACTTGACTATTAAAAAACAAACACTTTCGTAAACTCTTAAATTTCGAACTTTAATTTTTTATATACTTCTTTAATTATTGTTGTATACATTAGGGTTGATAATGTTTAGCTAGATAATATAAAATATATCGAACAACTAAGAAACTTCATCTGTGAATCTCTTGAGTATTATCACTATATCCTTAGAAATCATAGTTTTATTTGCAGGATTTAATATTTGAAGAATAAAATGCTTGTGATACAATCCTTTATTGGTTGATTTTCGAATTGCAACTTGATAGAACTATTATATCATCTAAGTAAGATTGCAAAGTCCAATAGAAAGAGGCGAAGGACTTTATGGTTCGTAGTCCTGGTGTTGGATATGCTAGATTCCCAGAAACCACTTGGTAAACGTCATATTTTTGTAATTTTATTTTGGAAATTTAAATTTCTCATTCTCGCGCTAAAAGCGCCCATTTTCACTGTTCCCTCTCTTAATACGCTATTTTGTGACGTTTCGCAAGGACATTTTTATGCTGTATATGTACGTTTGAGTTATGTGCTTGTTGTTGTTCGTGCTTCCAAAGTTTCTGTATCAAGTGTGACTGGGTTGGTGCTCTCTGTGTTGTATTTCAAGATCTTGCATTTCATTTGTGTATGTTGAGGCCCGCTGATGCAGAGATTGCTAGTTTACTGGCTGAGTCTCCTAAATTTGTTGCTGTGTATAAGATAGAAGAGCTAGGTCATCTGTGAAGTCCAAATCGTCTAATTGATTCCTAGCTGTCCATTGTATTTGGTGTTTTATTTGAACTGTGGAGGTCTTCACAATCCAGTTGGCCACCAGAAGAGAGAGAAAGATGGAGATTAAGCAGCTTTGTCCCACTCCACTTCTCACTTGGAATGTATCTGTCAGCTGTACTCCATGCACCACTTGGTACTGTAGTTCGTCGTATTAGTTACCCATGATGATGGCGATCCTCTCAGCTACTCACTTCATAGTGTTGAAGAAGGTTCCATCAGGTCCTCCTATCCATATTGTCAAATGATTTCTCATAGTCAATCAAGTTGATGAATAGTGACGAGTCGCATTCAGTTGATTGCTCTACAATGACCCGTGATGTCCCTATTTGGTCTGTGTCTGTGACCAATCTTTACGAGATTCGATATGTTAATTTCGAAGCTGGACGTCTACTGAATCTTTCATCCAATTCAGCAACATCCCTTCAGGATGATCAGGTCCTTTTCTGACCAATTCACTATGATCGATTACAGCTTCTCATAAAATTTATCTTTGCCGTCATCATTGCTATCATTGATGGGTGCATAACACTGAATAACATTCATTATGATTACTTCCTTCTTTGTTTTAAAGGATGCTTTGATGATTCGGAATCCATGAGACTCCCATCCTATTATTGCTTTACGAGCTTCTTTGAACGTCATCAGAGCAACCCTCCAAGTGTTTTGAGGATTTTCTTCTTCATGACCAGAATACAATAACATCTCTCGCGAATCTAATCTTTGCAGTCTCCGTTGGATTTACTTGGTTTCACTTGTTCCGAGAACCGTCAAGTTATGTGTCCTCATTTCGCAGCTATTTGAATGGTCCTCCCAGTTCCCCACATTGTCCGGACATTCTATGTACATAAATTAATTGTTGTTCTGGTCGTTAGAAAGGGAATCGACCTCGTAACTTGCGAGGAATCCCGGCCTTCACTTTGTGGCGTTATAAGTAGCCTGAGTGAATATCCTCCAACTCGGAGAGCAGAGTTTAAATTGTTTATTCTGGTCAGCGTTTTTTAGCAAGATTGTTTCTTACGGGATGATATGATCATCTTCTATTCGATTTTCTTCTTAATAACTATCAAAAATTAAAACACTAGAAGTAGTTCCAATTATTAAATAAATACTACTACTTCACTACTACAACTGCACTACTACCACTACAGTAGTGTGTGCTACTGATGTCGACAGATATAAGTAGTATGTATTATCAATAGAAATCGGAATGTTTAGCGGCAGAAGGTCGAGAAAATTGAAGCGGAGTGAACGAGAACAGAGAATAAGTGCTATGGGAACGAAAGAACAACAAAGTTCTGGACAACTGATGGATATTTTGCAAACGAAGCATTTACTGTAAGATTCTGAGATATTCTGTAATGTTATGTAGCGATTCATTTGGTTGTTTTTATTGTATGTTTTCGTTCACTACATTACTACTATAATTATTATTACTATTACTAAACAGTACACATTTAAGACAGATCTCGTAAATTTTACCTTTTCATATAATATTTATGGTTTTTTATTTGAAATAAATAATAATCAGTTAATAGAAGAAACTCATCCAGTTAAAAATAAAGAAAAATCGAGATCTAAGTCACCACAAACTTTAAAAACTCAAAACTCGTGGGAGTATTTAAAATCTGGCTCTCAAAGTACAATGGATAAAAAATTATCTGGATTCTTAGAACAATCAACACTTTCTCGTTCTCAGTCGTGTGATTATTTGGGTAAAATAAATGACTCGTCTGAAGATCATGAAGAGTTCAAAAAGAAATCTGGAAGACGAAGACGCCTATTACAACTAAAAAGACTATTGAAGAAGGTGAGTAGATCACTATTTAACACATAATAATTCGATGTTTCATAATTTCCGAGAAAAACTTAAAATTTCGTTTTTCAATGCTTCAGTCATACATGTGAAACTGGTGTATTCCTACCTGTTTTTCGGTAACTTGTAACTCCACAATTTTAGCATGCGTATTTATAAGTAATCATAAAATACGTAATCCGCCTTAAAGAAGACTACATAAAGGACAATTTGATGAATTTAGTTATACGTTATTGCAATCATCTGATAAAAGTCATACTAGCTTTGTTTTCGCAGATAATATATGAAAAGTTCGTCACATCGAAAGAGAGAAAGAATTAGAGAAGAATAAGACATGGTATCTCTTGAAGTATGCTGGTTTTATGGAAAACAAAACAAAACTGAGAAAGCTACAAATCTCATGTTTTCAACTGTTACGGTATTCAATAACACTGTTAAAAGTTTTAACTGGAGGAAAATGTATCCTTCATGTAAATGTCCAAGAAATTAGTGGCATCACTTATCACAAGTCCGTAAGGAAAATATGTTACGTTGTCAAGCTACAAAATCAGCAATTAACGGTGTTAGGTGAGAGAGTTATGGAGTTCAGATTTCGAGGAAGTAGCATTATGACTATAATGGCTATAAATGTGCACTTTGGTGGAGTCCCATACTATTTCTAGCGCCTTCCGGTTCTCACTGATTACCTAACTACGATCAGACGGTGATGTAAATCTGAAAAAAAACAGACTTAGTTTGTTTCGGTCGTTATATTTGAAAAGGCATACAAATTATTTACATCAGTTCAAACTACTAATCGTAACAAAGTAGTATGGTGGCTATTAGTGATGTGTTAGATTAGTAGCGAACAGATTTTACGTATAGTACAAAATACAAGTATTTTTCATTATCTATGAAGAAGTTGTGAAGCTAAAACGTTAAAACTATCAAATCATTAATTTTGATCACCTACTGAATGTTTCTACTCATACTAGTAAGTAGTTACTCAACTTTGTGGTGCAGTGGATCTGATATAAGATGAAAAACTAAAATCTGCATGAAGCTTCAAAACTCATGTTCGAATCTCCGAAAAGCTAAAATCTTCCTCAGGCTCACAAGTCATTTTCACATAAATTTCTTATTGGGTAAACTCTAAGAACTGGGGTTTTACATGTAGAGCATTTAACTACCCAACAACAAATGAATAATAGCGTTACAGTTTTTATTTCATTAGATTTCACTACCTACACTGACTAGTGACTATGTAGATGATTGGAATTTATGTTTATTCCATTCGTTGAGGTCGGTACGTGGAGGGAAAACTTTATATTCGACGGTTTTCTGTTATCTCGAAGTCAATGCAAATTAATATGAGGACTTGCGAGTAGATAATGATACCGCTAAATAATGATCCCAACATAAAATATTATTTAGTGCTAAATCTTTAAGTGTTTAATATAACACATTACATATTTGACAGTCTAAAATATATGATAATAATACAGTAAAACTGATTTATACTTTTAGGGATTTAATTGAGCAAGATAATCAAACCACATGGATTATTTCGCTCAAGAATTCGGCTTGCAAAGATCATTGACACAATGTTATGTAATACAGTTTAGCAAAAAGATTTGACATTAAATCAACAGAAATGAGTAATTACTTAATCTGTCTATATACTAACAGTCACTATTCACTCTTCGTGATAAATCTTCCAATGAAACGCTAGATTCGGTTCCTAAGCTCTTCTAGTAACCCCCAGGCTAGATCTATACATCAACTTTAACACGAGAGGAAAGGCGCGAGATATGGAAAGAACACTTTACTCCAAAGGTTCACTTATGTACAGAAAGTCTAGGGTATTTATAGTTTTCTAGATGGCTTTGGGTTTCTGGAAAATTCTGGAATGTTATTGAACATAGTAGCATGCAACCAGAAACTCGACATGTGACTTTTCACCTTCTAGATGTTTCTGGCAAAACTTCTAATGAATGCTGATTGGATAAGATGCTTCATAGTGTTTTTGAGCCTTCTTGACTTCTTTTCGAGGACTTTTCTGAATCTCCCTAACAATTTGTTTGGTCTGTTCTATCAATTAAAACAATAACTGTTTTAACATAATTATAAGATTTATTTGTAAACACTATATAAGTTGTATTTATGTAACTATATTGTGACTGAATACAAAAATGACATGACTGTATTAGACTTTTAAGTTTCCTCTATACGATTTATAAAATGAACCACAATTTTTATCGGCCTGTTTAAACTGACTACATATGATCAAACTGAAATCATATTTTTTGACATTCAGCTACGTTTTTTTTGTGTCCAAAGCAACGTTAACACAACATCGTTCACAACTGTTGAATAGTTTAAAATTCCATATTTTATGTTTGTTCTATTCTCAATTATCGATAAGCTGTTTTTATACTTTGTTTATACACTTACTACCACACATTTTGTCTCCACATGTTTTTTTTAAATTATTATTATTGAGAAATAAGATCATCTGATAACTTTTGGCAGCTGATTACCTGCTGATCATTCTATAGATCTCCATGTGATTTGTAGTTTACGGATAGTTAATAACAAAATAAGACAGAAGAATAATTTTCATTTATTGAGTATCACGTTTCGTTTTTGTTTTGAAACTATTGCGTGAAATCATTATGAAAACATTACTGTCGCTTGGTTATTAGAATCAACTACTATTTACAAAAATGTCCGTACAAAATCAGATTAATAAAACAATAGAATTCATACATGTTAAAGTTAGACAAGCAGATTAGTTAATGTATTTCATTGTTAACTATAAAATGTTTAGATTTTGCATATTATAGTTGAAAGCAATATGCTAAAACTACAGTTTTTTGTTAAACTACTTGCCTTCTGAACAATTTGTGAGTTTTTCAATTGACATACTGAATGAATATAAATATAAGAATCATTTGAATTTATCATTTAGATACATCGGGAACCTTAGTCACTTTTCAAATGAACTTGTTAGTTTACATTGTAGTTAAGTCTCATTTTATGATGAAACATTTCTCAAGTTCAATTTTATTTCTAATGGAATCCAACATTAGACGATCGTAAAACGTCATTTAAAGCAAATCTAGTTTTTAGTACAATGGGTTTGTAAACAAACTTTAAATGTACACCGTTAAACTATTCCACAATTACTTAACCTCTATAACTTGATTTTATTTAAGTATATATAATAGATCAGAAAATAAGTCATTCATTGAAGGAATCCTTTCAAAAAATGTCGTTTAATAAAAAAGCCGTAACAAAATAAATGTACTACAGATTATAGTTAGTAATTTTGATCTATCATACACATAGTTCCCTTTATCATTTTGAAAAGAGTAAGAACAAAGATTCTAGCAGAATAGCTTGAATTCATTTTATTTCGTAATGAATGAATTCATGCTATTCTGCTAGCATCTTTATTCTTGCTCTTTTCAAAATTTTGATGTAGTTTTGTTCTCTGAGTTAGATGGTTTGGTCATGGAGCTTTCATCGTTCTTCTGAACGACATCATCAGCACAAACTTCAGATAGAAGTGAAGTGTTCGAATTTCTTCACATGTGGTTAACAGCTTCTCCTGTAGACTTAAATGTTGATTGATGAACCGCATGTGGAGAATTTCGAACACTTCACTTCTACCTAGAATTTGTGCCGACGGTGTCATTCAGAATAACGATGAAAGCTCCACAACCAAACCACCCAGCTCAGAGAACAAAACTCTGTCAAAATCATCCACCTGAGCTACAAATCTTCTCCACCATCTCGTAGTTAATAATTCTAAGTAGTATTGTATATTTAGCAAATAAATGGGATTTTTATTTTATGATACTGAATGTAGCCATGTTTTTTACTTCAATAATTAATGTTTAATCAGTTTTATAATTCGATAGCATTACAGAACTTCATATCACTAATTTGAATGTAAACATTTTAGATCCATAGTGAATTTGTCATGAAATAGTAATGCAAAATATTACATACATTTTCATTTCATTTTCTCACTTTTTGATGTCTAGAGTAAATCATTCAAATCAAATCACTATAAAGCTTATAATGAAATGGATGAATTAATTCATGGTGAAATTGATGTATCAATGGAATATAATGCTCAAGATCAACAACTTGGAGTTAGTTTATGGGCTGCTAATAATTTAGCACATGAAAAATATATAATCGGCTTACCGTAAGATTTTGTATAACATTCTATTTGAGTAACTTCTTTAATAATCTAAAATGAGTTGATTTTTAACCATATATATTTAGTTATTTGCTCCACATTTTAAGTGATCACTCATAGTGAATAGAATGTTGTTTGTAAAAGCAAATGAAGGGAGTTTTATTTAAATAATAATCAGACTATAGTTTTAAAGAGAGTAAGAACAAAGGTTGGTGCAGAATAATATGAATTCATTTTATTTCGTTAGGTTCTCATCAGCTGCTTACAACCTAAAATATTTGAAATTCAACGTATTCACATTATGTTACATATATTCATCCTTCTTCGCCCTCTGTTGTATAAGTATGTCAATATCTATAATAACGTTGAATTTCAAATATTTTAGGTTGTAAGCAGCTGATGAGAACCTAACGAAATAAAATGAATTCATATTATTCTGCACCAACCTTTGTTCTTACTCTCTTTAAAATAATAAAGGGAACTATGTGTATGAAATTGACTATAGTTATATGTATTTTATGCTAACAAAATCATAGTATCTTACTGTACGATTGTAACAACTGAAAATGTTTAAGACGTAGATGACCATATTGTAATTTCCCAGTTACTGAAGTTACAATGAATATTCAAGAAAGTAGTCAAGCTATTTGAATATTTATTTAAATAATTCCTCTGTAATTTAACTTGTTTTATAAGTGAATTATTCACTGTTAGTCCTATATAAGAAATATTTAAGCCTTTGTGATAATCGGAAGTATTTGAGTTATAGTATGAACTAAGAATCCCAGAAATAATTTAATAGGATCAAGAAGTACTAGATAACCACAAACGAATGTACTGTATTTAGAATTCGAAATCAAGCATTCAACAAGTACAAAGGTATCATTAGTTCATTCAAACACCACAGCCTTTTTAACTTAAAAATGTTGAGGCTTCATGTAGCAACTTTTTGCTTACATTTCTATAGGAAACTCAATATCATAACTTCATGAAATGTAGTTGAATGATTGTCGATTTAGTTTGAAAGCAAGTAAAAACCAGTATAATCAATGTATAAATATGTATTATCTTCTGATTTTAACAGTTATAGAGTGATCAATACAAAATACTAGGACATTAAGGTCATTATTATCTAGCGAATTTGTTGCCAGTATTTGATTCACATCAACATTCTCAAAATTGATGATAATTAAATTGTACGTTTTTTCGTTGTTTCAATGTAAAATAGGTTAAACTGTGTAAGGGTTATGATATAACAACTACCTTGAAGTGATTCGAGTTTGTTTTTTTATTGCTTATATATGTTTTAGTCATGCTACAATCTCATTGCTTCCAGATAATGTAAAATATAATCTCAAAGTATCTGGTAACAATAAATGGGATGGAAGAGATGCAGTTTTTGATCTTAGTGTTTGTTTTACAGTACATAGACGTGATTTAAACAAGAAGATTATTGTAATAAAGTTATGGTCTAGAAATGGTATAAAATCACAATTCACCATTGGCCAAACTGTTATTCCTATAGAAGAATGTAATCTTTTGTTCTCACCATGTAGAAAGTGCTTCCAATTGATAAGTGAAAATGTAAGTGTTCATTAAATATAATATCATAAGGGTCGAAACAAAATAACATACATTAAACTATTTCTATTAAAACCAATTTTATTTACAGTTGTTTAATACAAAGCATTTACCCATATTTTCCTTGAATTTAAACATATTGTGAGTGTTTGCTTATGAGCTGCACAAATCTTTTGCTTTTGAATAGTAATAGCGGTTGATTTTTAGCTATTCCAGAAAATATACAAGGTGTATAACATTTCTGAACTATACACCAAACGCTGTAGTTTAAATTGTGACTTTAACTACATGAAACTTCTATTCTTCACAAATACTTAAGAACTAATTACGGAAATTCATCTCTATTTATTGAATACTATGATGGATGGTCACAAATTTTGTACGCTATAAAGAAGCATGAAAAGTAAACTATTATTCAAATTAAGTATCATTCGTTACCGCCTAAATAATGCCTATATATGATTGCCAGATCAATTCAAAGCGATAGCTTACCAAGCAGTTGAACAGCATTCATACACATCCAACTATTCAGAAGATAGTTTTTTCTGTACATTTTGATATATATAGTACGCACATGTTTGGTAGGGACTTTCTACCTAGTCACTGATCCTCAGAATCTCCTACAATTGAACTCTGAACGAAAGATACAATGAGAGACGTAAGAAAAATGTTTTATGTTCAATATAACTTTAGAATGAGAAAAAAAAGATATTCATAGCTTCATTTTGGAGCTTGATATTCTGAAATATTCAAGAAAAGTTCTAAGTTTAGTCACAAATTGGTAAATAACCAATCAAGATATGACAGACTATCTATCGTTTATTTAAACTCTCTGGGGGGAAATCTCTATTGTATAATTACTAGACTAAGAGTTTTCAGCCTTCTTTTAACTTTGTAAACTTTGTCAAGGACCTACTCTCTTGTGAAAAATATGATTTTTCTCTGGTCTACCTAGTTTCAGGTTTCCGGTAGCGTTCTATTTTCTGATTTTTTATACTCATACAATTATCACTTCTGTTTCTTAATTTTTCATCAATGACTCTGTTCATTTGCGAGGTATCCATGAGTATAATAAGCTGAAAATTAATTACATCGTCTTCTATGTTCATTGTTATATTTACCCCTAAGTGTACGATTTGTTTTTCCCACGTTCCAAGTATCTCTCGCACAATGAACAAAACTTTTCCGATTCTTCTTCCTATAGTTCCTAGTCCCTATTTATTTGTACTGTGATATGACTTTACAAACACTTTATCTCTTACGTAAAAACTGCAAGTGTACATATTCTCTCCTTGTCTCTCTATCTTTGTTGTCTAGAGCAGGAAGTTAAAAGTCATCCTGACACCTTTCCCTGATATTTTTTCCACAAACGATTTCCACCCTGGAACAACAAGATTAGCCGTAACTGGATAAAATGTTAAAAACTTGATAATTACTCAGATTTTCATTCAATCTCCTTTTAAGGTAAAGCTTGTTTAAAGGTATCCATGCTGCTTGACCGTTTGACTATGGATCGTAAGGAGAAAAGCGTAAATGAATAATCCCTAACTAAGTATTTCATGTAGAACATTTAAATCTATTGTTTTATTTATAACAAAAGATTTATAATCTGTCAATAATATTTTTCCTCATAGAATTCAATCATTACAAATCCTAACATAAATACAGCTTACTACGGTGAAATCAAACTTGCTTTACGTTTTGCAATATCTGATTATCAGAAAAAAGTGTTGTGTGTAACTGATGAAGCTATTGATTTGATTGGCGTATTAAATGTATGGATAAAGGAAGGAAAGAATTTGCATTCACAAAAAGCTGGTACAGATATAAATTCTTACGTGACCGTGTACGTTTACAATTATAATTCTGTGTTTTAAAAATCAAATAACAACTTCACTCATGAAATTTATTTTGGAATTCTAAAATGTGTACATCAATTACAGCTTATTGAGTTAACTATATCAATGGTATAACAGTTACCAACTGATGGCATTTAATGATAAGTGGTAAATATAATAAGGTGATAGATTTTTGAAATAATGACACCTCGATGAAGACCAGACACCTCAACTAACTTGCGATTGCCATAAGAATAAACATCCCTACATTGGATTGTGTATTCGATTGTTATTGTATGATAGTCAAGTGAGATGGAGTGAAAAGAATTAAGTATCCATCGTGTTTCAATGAACTAAAATATTAAATATTGCTTTACTACATCTATTTTTTAGATGAATGAATGGTCCGTAAGTTTTTCCATATTTAACAAGCTAAACAGCAATAACGATACTTGCAAAATATTCAATATTCAGTTATATGGTACACTGTTTTTACAGTATTGAAAATAAAAAGGCAGTAAATAGATTCCAATAAGTGAACAATTAACAGACATACTTTGACATCAAATAGAATCTATCAAATAAACATTTGCTTTTATCAACCACATTCATGCAATTATTTAATTTAATTAGGGAACTAACTGATCCTGACCACAAAACAGAATGTCGAAGTACTGATCAAATTCTACGAAGTGATCAACCAGTTTGGAATAGTTTACTTCAGTTTTCAGACAAACATCTTAGTGAATTAATCGAATCTACTATGAAAATATTTATTTGGAATCGTTCAAGTAGCTTTAGTGATCCAGAACTATTGGGGATCGTACAAATTGCCAATAAAGGTAATCACATGAATTATATATATATATATATGATACTGAATACCCCACAGATTAACTTGCGAATTAAACTGCTATGTGCAAACATAGGGCCCAAATCAGACAATCATAGATATTTTATGAATGAATGAATGAATACATATTATACAGTGAGCATCTAGAAAGTTACGTCTTTTGTCCCATTATCTTTTAAGAACATGCAATAATACGATAATCAATGATGAGAGAACGAAATAATCGCCAGTTATAATTATTACATAACATTCTTTATTCGTCAACAACATTTTCATAAGTAAAAATGAATGTTGATAATGATGATTTCGTTGAAATTATTCCATACTTTTCTATGGCAACATAAATTAAACTGTTCAACAAAGAATGGAAAATCAACATTCAAGAAATTTCATCTCAATCAAAGATGCGAACTATTTCACTCCAAGCTCACTGGTTGAATTTTAATTCAAGCGTCGAGACCTGAAGATAATATTTAAGGAAATGTTTGACCGATTCATGTAAAATATCATTTTCCTATGTCACACATCATTTCTATTTTTATCTATAAATACTACAATTTTCAGAAGGGGTTTTGTGGATATTATAGTAATTTTAATATTTGAGATCATGAGTCAATTAAAGCTGGACCTTCATGAAAAACCTGGAAGCACTGGACGGCCGTTTCGTCCTACTACGAGACTCCTCAGCAGTGCGCATTCACGATCCCGCCCGCGGGGTTCAAACCCAGGACCTATCCGTCTCGCGTGCGAGCGCTTAACTTATAGACCACTGAGCCGGCCGGCATCCAACGGTTTTCTCTCAACTCTAAAATACATTATCCTTCCTCCAATTACTGCTATAATTTTCTTTCTGAACATCTACATACTCCTGAGAATATCAACTTTATATTACAATTATCCTAAAAAATTTTATTATTATAAAATACATCTCTTTATTTTTGTTTTTTCTTCCTGTCCTTTTTTTAAACAGAAGAATCTGAATTAATGGATACGATCAATGATAACAACGTAAATGCTAATGTATATCAAGGCAGTACAATAACGAAAAGTACATCATTGTGGGAATCTGTAATATCTAAACCTGGTGACTGGATAGAAGGTCTGCTTAATATTACAGCTCCTAATATAAAATAACGAATATAAAACATTTTATAGAAATATATGTATATGAATCTTGTAACTACTTAGAATTTGGTGGTAATTTTCAAATGTTAATTCCTATAATTCTTACAAATTATTGCAAACTATTACATAACAATACAGTTTACAGATTTCTTAAATGTTATTGATATTGAGAATTTAACTCTGATTTAATAGTCAATTAACAGGTTTGAAACATTTTCCCATTTTAACTTTCTTATATTATTTTTATAACAGCCTAATTGTAAAGTATTCTCTTGTATTGAAAATTGGTCAATCTAGAATAAGTAACTGTTTGAATAGATATTAATTTGAATATTGTAATTAAATTAAGTATTAAAAGTCAATTAAATATAAACAGATTTCAAGGTAAAATAAGGTAAAGAGGTTTTTAGTAAATCCTTTAAGTGATTACAGCTAATACAGTTTACGACTTTGGTTCCTTTAGAGCTTCTGAAGGTTTCGTTGAGCTTTTTGAGGGCCATCTCAATAGTTTTAAGAATATTAAAGAAATTAAATACGATTATCTCTTAATATTTCAGATATATATTATTTCCCTTATTTTGATTTTCAATATTACACTTAATGTATATACTTTCATTAGGTTATTTGTTACAAAAACTGATTCACCCAAGTTGCAATAGAGTTGTAATTATAACCTATGAATTTTTATGAGAAATGTTACTTACACAAAAGTAAGTGGAAAATATGCTTGAACACTTATCATCAGGCTGTTTAATTATGCAACCAGTAAATAATTGGATATACTATAAAAATTATAAAAACTAATCTAAAACCATATTAATTGTAATAAATATCCAGGGAACATCTATCTATGAACTATATGACCATGAAAACCTATAAAAAAAACTATTCCAAGGTTGCTTACCGTATGTAAGTGTGTTTCATTACTCAACAGAGCATGTATATAACGTTCAATCTGTATTAAATCTGAGAATGTACTTAAATATGTTGGGGGAGGGTAGGTCCTCAGAAGTCACTTGGTAAACGTCTTAGTTTTGTAATTCTATTTTGGAAATTTGAATCTTTTTGTTTTCGTGCCAAAAGCGCCCATTTTTACACTCAGACTATATTCCCCACTTGAAAGGACTCTAAATGTCACCGGTTCGTTTCCTCTTTTAATGTGCTATTTCGTGACGTTTCCCAAGGGCAGTTTTATGCTGTATATATACGCTTCAGTTGTGTGCTTGTTGTAGTGCATATTTATGGATGCTTGTGAAATAGAATTTCCTTGTTCTGATTTTGGTGTTCTTTCTCTAGTTAGTGGGGCTAAGACGCATCGGAATAGTTAGTTTAGCTGGTCATTATGACGCTGATACCTAGTCCCATTTATTGATTTTAGATGATCTCGTAATCTCTTCAAACTTAGAAAAATATGGTTAAAAGATTTTCTAATGTCGATTCGCAAAATATTTAACAACGTTTTTAAGATACGATAAAATATATGATCATATTTTAATTCAGCATGGTATTTGTGTTAATATTGTGGTGTTTGCTGCTGATGTCGACATATATAATTAGTATGTATCATCAAAAGAAAGTGGAAAACATAAAAGCGGAAGGTTGAGAAAATTGATGTGAAGAGAACGAGAACAGAGAATGATCGGTATGGAAACGAAGGAACAATGAAGTGTGAGACAACTGATAGATATTTTGCAAATGAAATATTTACTGTTTTATAGCAACTCTCGTAAAATCAATTTCGATAATGGTTATATTTTGTCAAGCCTTTTTAATAACTTACTTAACAGACAATATTACCCGAACAGTAACAGTCAGCATATTTCTTTGTACTATTATGTACCATTATCTTGTCTGTATAAACGTGCACCCTTGATCACATGATAGCCTACGCACATATCCCTTCATAGCCAAAATGTTGATAACTTAAATATCGCTCGAAGAATCCTTCTCTTTTCCATGTGTATATATATACTCAAATTCTATTGTTAGCATTTGCCTAGCTGCGCCTTATCCGATTTGACTACGAACTTGCTTCTGCATGAGCTCGCATACACATATTCGTCTCTGCTTCAAATTCGCTCGATGTGCATATGACTTTGTTGTCTGTGTTATCCGCTGATAAACTGTAGTCGCAGCTTCTAATTGCCTTCTAGTTTCAAACACCATTGAGATTTATATAATAACGATTATTAGGGTGATTGATTAATGAAGCCAAGCCACTACAGTATTCAACTACATTTAGTTGTCCGCGCCTATGTTCACGTTCACTACAGTATTACAACTGATTTAATTTATAAGCAAAGACGGATAGTGGCTAGCAGTGGAATCCAGTACGCGCGTTTCGTCTTATGTGGGACTCGTCAGCTGGACCTGACTGCATGTCAGGGTTGATGTTCACTCTGGGACTCGAACCCAGTACTGTTCGATTCAAACGCCACCGCGTTCTCCACACAGCTACTGAGTCTTGATAGCCACTAGCTTGTGCAAAAGGATGAATTTAAATTCACTTGGTATTGTTTACTTGAATCTTCCTATCGATGTTTAGGACTGCAATTGATCAGTCTCTTATTGCCATATGTGCATACTGTGCGTACGCCTCGATATTGCTTTAATTCACAAGCATTATAAATAAAGATGGATATTGGCTAGCAGTGGAATCCAGGATGCGCGTTTCTTCTTATCTGAGACTCGTCAGCTGGCTGGATCCCAGGAGAGAGTATAAAGTAAAAGAATAAAAGTATATTACAAATAATTCATTAGTTCATCGCAGTTGAGTAAATAACTCGAATTGTATGCATTTGGTTGAAAGACAAAGTAATAAGAATAGATTAAAGCTATTATTTTGAGATTAGGATTTGTTGATGAAGACGTTTTGGTAATTACAGTTCATGAACAGAATGTTTTTTATAGAGTTTTGTCAACTACTTAGTTGAATATACGTTAGATAATATTTGAAGACGAATTTAAAGTGATAAGTTTAGGAGCTATGAAGATGAAAGAATACTTGTTTTATCTTGTTGAATATATACCTTGTGCTTTGTCAATGTATAACGTAATGATACCGCCAATTAGAGAACAGTGAATTATCGACCGGACTAATGCCGCATAAAACCCGTACGAGCAGTCTAGATTACTTATCGGTCCTTCTTCCTGCCTAGCCCTGACTGTTATGCCCAGAACATCAATCTCAGCCTCTGCGATATGAATCATTTATTTCAAACACACTGAGTTTATATATAATCCAAACAGACCACATCGTACCATAAAATAGGAGACAACATTTGTACAAGATTTAGCCAAATATGGCTGTGAATGTGGGAGATAGTAATTGATATACAGGGCATAACTCAGGAATGGTAAATCTTTTAATAATAGTCTATGGAACAAAACAAAGCTTATAATAAGAGGAACATGAATATGTATGGTTAAATTACTTAACAATTATGCAATAAAATACATGTATCGTATTAGTTCATGAATAGTTCTCAAAAGTTACCATTCATAACTCTCGCAGAGATATAAGAACTATGACCTCGATTGTACCAAAAGTATTCTTTATTGTTTCTTTAGTACTATTTAAACTTGTCTTCTCTTCATTTCAGCTATTTATTTACTCCGAAGAAGTGATCTACATTAAGTCACGAAATGTCAGAAATAAAAGTTTTCTAAAAATTGGAATATAACAAAAAGATTTTAATTTTTTTTATTAAGATTGAAATTATTATCTAATGTTATATTTATCTTAATTTATAAACTAATCACAAGCATAGAAGTAAAAACATTTAGATAATTAAAACAACTCATTGTGTCATTGAATAAAAAATAAAAAGAATTCAGTGAAGAAAATTTCTTTTTCGACAAAATCATTTGCTTGTGCTGTACATTCATATTTATAGTTGCATAGTAAATATTATGTCTGTAAAAGCATAGTGAAGATTGATCTGTAAATTATTTTCAGCCTACTATTCTTCTCTAATGCCCTGATTATTATGTAATCTCATTTGATATTTGGAATCTCGAATCACTATATAAAACAATCTTTCCTATTCTTCGATAGACATTTATTTATCATACAACTATCAATAAGAATATACAGCTTAAATAAATGATTTTGTTGAAAAGAAAATTTTCTTCACTGAATTCTTTTTATTTTTAAAATGATTTGTAAAGTAATAATTTCTCCGCCTAATTTATCATTCCGTTTTACAGTTTGCTATCAATAAATATAATGATTGTATTAAATATCTATTGTAGAAATCAATCTCAAACATATCTTTATTTTATAAAATATGAATTGTAAGGATTTATTGGTTAGTATTTCAAAGAATAACTTCGCCTGGAGTCCCTCCCGGGGGCTACCGCCGGTCCCAAGCATGGATAAAGGCGGAGGGTTGAGCATGGGGTTAGCGACTCCATCCCGTTAAAAACTAACTCGCTGAAAAAACGCTTACCAAAAAAAAATTATTCAATAAAAAATTTCAAAAAAATAACATAACTGTACGTATAAAAAACTACCGTAATCATGATATGCTTTGTGTTACAAACGGCAATACCGTAACCTTAAAAATAACAGATTCATTTGAACTCAACTTAAAAAGTTGTCTTATCGTATTTTAACCGTATATTATAAATACTGTCTTTTCTATACATGTCATTTACTAAATTGTCAAAAATAAGTTGAGATTGAAACATTGATATTTATATATTTAACGGTTTATATGATGTAATATTTTTTATCATAACAATTGGAGGTATCTTTTAACATGTTAGAAATAAGAATACCTGTTATGAGAGTTGTTGACATTGTTAGATCTTTAGGAAGATAGATATTGAAATTCATTACCAAATCTATATATTGATTCTCATATATTGTTTATCGAATGATCAACAACAGTGCAGTTATTTGTATCAAACTTGAAATGTTTCATCGTTTAATAAAACAAAAGTTTACTAATAAAGCTCCACTGCCTATTTATTGAAATAAAAGATAATTGAGCATATAACAATCTACTATATTTATATCTAAACTACTAGTAGTAACAAACAGACATTTATGTTAAAATAATGGTTGAATAGACCTCCATACAATTCATAACGAATTATTGATAGACGTGATTCATTAGATAGTACAGTCACTCATGAAAATCATGTAATATACACGGTTTTAGTCAACGAATATCAAGTTAAACGATCACATCAGATACCCAGATAATGAGTAGTCAATTCTTAAGATCTTTATAATCTCATGGTTCATAAAGATAAAAAATCACACAGTAACATTGTTTATTTTATCAGTTAAACTTAATGTTGAAGCAAAAGCTGTTAGATTTCTTTTACTCCAAGATCAATAAACCATGAAATCTTTTAAAAATATATACGCTTTCGCATATTTCTTAAATGAATTTCTCAATAGTAGGACTACATTTTGCTTAGTTGCATGCGACAAAAACATAGTTTTAAATAAAGAACATCTGGTTTACCGAACTATCCTAGTGAACCTATCAAACAGAAAAATAGTACTATTTTCAATTGAACAGGTATATTACCATATGAGATTGCGAAAGTTTCTTATTTTATAGTATACATCATGGATTAATACTAGTTAAACAAATGCTTAAAACTAGAAAGCCTTGAATAGCTGATATTTCTAGTATACAACTCACTGATCGATAAGTCAAACACTTACTGTAATATATGTAAAACCTGCGTACGATCCCCTATATGGTTGTAGGTATACACGAACAGAGAATCTCATACGAAAGCTAGAGTTTCTTTGAATGCTTCCTGATGATTTACAATGATTGTCTAAGTAAGGTCAATCAACAAATAAGAAATATTTCCAAAACAGAATAAAAACACATTTTCTTGCATGAATAACTGATCATCATTATTAGCCCTTGATTACTCCTTTTCCATTAAAGCATAACACCTTATATTTTATTAATATGATTTCGATTCCTATAACCGAATGTATTTTGTTATTCAGATAAATAAGAAGGATGCTGGTTCAGTGATCTAGTTGGTTAGGCGCCTGGCACGAGACTGATAGGTCCTGGGTTCGAATCTCGTGGGGGGGGCGAGATTGTGGATGCGCACTGCTGAGGAGTCCCGTACTGGGACGAAACGGACATCCAGTGCTTCCAGGTTTTCCATGGTGGTCTAGTTTCAATTGACTCATCAGTTCAATTTGTGAAATTTCTAAAATCTCCACAAACCCCTTCTAAGAATAAATAAGAATAAATTAAATTATTTCTATTCTCAATTGTAATTAGTTGTATCATGTCATTGACAATTTATTTAAGTAGATTTATCACGCTAATTATAAATAGAAAAAAGAAATTATACAATAATAAGAACAAAAATAGATATACCACATTTAAATACATAAGATATTATTCTTTATATTTCCATCATTCTTTAAGGTCATTTCAGTTATCTTATTCAGTATTATTATTGTTTATAAATTTTATTTATAAAAAGAAAATCTTATTTTCATTCATTCTTGCTTTATACACGTCAATATTTTTGTTGTTGCTGCGCTTGTTGTGTTTGCAAAAAATCCGGAACTCTCTTTTTTTTAATTTACTTTTCATCATATTCATTGTATAATAAAATAAAGAAAAGCAAATAAATAAATAAATAAAAATGATAAATCATAATTTCTAATTAACATTCAATAGGATACGTTTAATTATTGAGACAATTTTCATGATACATTTTTGCTGTTGTTGTTGGTGGTGGTGGTGGTTTTGTTGATGGTGATGGTGGTGGTGGTGTTGATGGTGGTGGTAGAAGTGTTGTCAAATATTCGTTTTCATTTAAATAAAATTTTTTAAAAAAATGGATGGTTGAACCAGTCAGTAATTGGAAATAATTAACCAATCAAATGTCGCTATGATAAATAAATAAATATATATATATATATATTGTTCGCGCAACATTCAATACATTTTCCGAATCCAAACTGATCTAAATTTATAACATTCTTTATAGACATTTATGAATTAGTGAAATATTTTGTTTTGTTTCCTTTTTTAAAAAAAAAACAGACTAATTTACATGTTCTTAGCTAAACTCATATTGTTATTGAAAATAGTTATTATTATTATTTATTCAGAGAATGTTATAAATTGTGATGAAACGACGGAATTATTACAAAATGATCTATTATTCAATGTACCATTATTAGATCATTATGAATGGGAGATAGTTACAAGTTTAGTACTGGATTCAATTGAAGATGCTACAAAATATTTATGGAAACATAGAATTAAGGTGAATTTAGATGGTTATTTAGGAACTACAATGGTTGAAGGTAAGTACATATTTATTATTAGTATTATTTAGTTGTATCTACAAATGAAAAACGTAATCAGATTATACGGAAAGTTGTTTTTTTTTTCACGAATATAACTAACACCCTGTTTTGTCAACCTAGAAATTGATCGATTGTTGTTGACTTTTGTTATATTATTGTTTGACTTGATTTTTACCCTACAGTTGTACATAACTTTTTTTAATGGTTAATAAATTATTTCAGCTATAAGAAACATTTTATCACATCAAATAGCTGCCCATTTCATTTTTGCTTACGTAAATATCAACTAACTGTCACCCGTCAAGATATATCGTAGTTAATATTAGTGTATGTAGATAGTCATGCATACACGTTCAACTGAAAAATATTAAAATCTTTGTCAAATGGAATACTAAAAAGACCGGAGGATTGTTAGAAGCTTGTTAATCAGGTCAGTTGACAATCAACAAACATTTAAAAATCAATCCAAGTTATCAGTTCACAGTACGAAAATTCATTAAAATAATTTACCTAAACTACAAATACTCACCATTTCAACATGAGAAATTATTAATTCGATTTCTTTTACCGCCAACTATTTATGCTGTAAGATTAGCTTTGAAAGGTAGTAATAAATAATATTTCAAACAATAACTGGTTTTACTATTTTGTTCAAAACTCTTCCCAATTTTTTATCATGGATTATCTAAAGAGATTTGATACTAATTGAATACATATAATGTGATTATTGAAAGTGATTGAGCCATTAACTCGTTATTATGATCCGCTAAAAAATTGGGTTTTTTCTCTATATGTATTATGAACACTGTTTACAGCAACGTCATTCAGTTAGTTTTCACAGCGCATAGTTTCCATGATCACATTTCGTTTTATCGTCAATACATAATTTCAAATTAGTTGTATGTATTTTGAACATTCATTTTTTCATATGCTTAAATTTAGTTATATTCCACTATTCACAAAAATATGATTAAATTTACATGTGAATAACTACCATGCATAAAAATATTAGTATCAGAATGGGTTTTGTGGATATTATAGTATTTTCAATGGTTGAGATCATGAGTCAATTGAAGCTAGACCACTGTGGAAAACCTGGAAGCATAGGATGGCCGTTTCGTCCTATCGTGTGACTTCTCAGCTTCAATCGACACATAATCTCAACTATTGAAATTACTGTGATATCCACAAAATCTCCTTCTGATACTAATCAGCATATGCTGACCAGTGACTGACTTCAAGAGGTATTTCCTGCAGTTCTAGTGAGAAGTAGTGACCAGTGGAGTTCAACCAGGTCTGTTGTGAGATAGTGACTTACTGAAGACAATGGTGGATGTGTCGCTCAATTTCGTGGATTGTTTGAAGTTAGACATTAACATCGTTGGATGCCGGCTCAATGGTCTAGAGGTAAAGTGCTCGCGCGCAAGACAGATATGTCCTAAGTTCGAATCTCGCGCCAGGGGATTTGGAGACTAATACACTCAATCGAATTTTAAGTAATGAAATAAATGTAGCACATATAATCTAACAAAATATTACAACGTAATGGGTCTGTAAACAAACCAGTTCTCCAACAATAATCTACTGACTTTCGTAAATGGCAGAGTATAATAACAAATCAATATCAATAAATACTCTAAATTTTTCTGAAAGGTCATTCATTTCGATTCCACTTGTTTCACAAATTTCCCACGAATGCTCAGGTACGGCCGCAGGTAGTGAAATGTTCTCATATGACCACGCGTATACAGACACTATCAAGAAAGTCCTATTCACTGCCTTCTCGTGGCATCACTGTTGTTCACGAAGTTGAGAGGATGAAAAGCGAATGCTCGGCGCTTTAATCAGGTTGGCGGATACTGTGGGTCCACCTGGGGGAGTTGGAAAATCCTGATTCCAAACCAATGGAGTACATGGGCTCCAGGATCCTGACGGAAATAAATAACGTATGAATCAATCGTTGGTCACCGGCTACCATGTTACTGCATTTCCTGACGTTGCTGCACTGCCTTATAGATCAGACTTTTAAGTTGAAGACTCGGGGTGTGACCCGCTAAGAAAACCACCTGCTTCGGTCTGGGCCCCCGGACAGTATTCCAGTCTTTACATAAATCGAATAATTTATATGGCGAACATGTATTTGTTGTTTCGTTGTATCAATGCCTATGTGTTCAAATAAATAATAAATAAATAGGCCAGAGATCACTTGAAATTACAAAACTTAAAATTTGTACTACAGGTGATCGTTTCAATATCGAATAAATAATTTACATATAGACATTTGTCAACATATGAATAAATTAATAAATATCTTTTTGCTTTATCCCAATGAGATAAAATATTAAAAAAATATATTTATTATTAATTCTCTACTCAGTATTCAATTTGTTTGAAACTCTCATGTTCAATCTTGCTATGGATACCTATTTGAACAAATTGTCTGACAGAAATTGGAACTCAAGTATAAATTGGATATTAGATGTCAATATGTATTTAAAATATTCTTAGTGACTCAAAATGAACACTAATTACAAGGTTTCACTAGACAATCTGCTCCGAGTTACTCTTAGGAAATAATCAGTATCAAATTTATGAAAGATAACTAAATTTAAAATAATTTTGTATTAACCACTTGTCCATCCGTTTGAAAGTGTTGATATTAACAAACCATTTAATATCAATTGTGTTCCAAATGAGTTATTTCAGGTTACATATTTGTGTGTTATTTTTTTATTAGAGTTCAATAAGTATGTGACGCTTTAATTTACGGGTGGGACAATATTAAACATTTTATTACTCATAAGAATGAAAGTACACTAAAATAGAATTGAAGTTAACAAAGTATGTACTGTCAGGAGACATGCTGATTTTACTCGTAATATGTTAATAAGTATTTACTTACTTACTTACTTTCCCCTGTTAACCCTCATGGAGGAGCATAAGCTGCCCACTAGCACTCTCCATCCAACTCTGTCCTTGGTAATCCTTTCTAGTCGCTATTCCTCTTTTTCATGTCTGTTTACAATTCCCAACGTAGTGTGTTCTTCGGCCTTCCTCTTTTCCGTTAATAAATAGTAATTAATGATAAATTAAAGCATAATAATTGACTTAATCAATAAAACGTCCGTTATTGTTTATATCTCTGTTACTGGTGGACTAAATAGGCAGGACGTTAAAAGCAACGTTTTTATTTATTTATCAACAGTTTCTGTAGTGTGCTTAACTATATTCCATCCAGTCTATTGAGATTGTGAAGATTCGTCAATATATCCACCAGTACGTCTGTTCTATTTTTACAAAAGGAAAAATAATACTAAAGAATCTTTTTTGGGGTGAAAATAATTCTCTGTTTGTCCCTATTAGATGTGATACTACAGTTGATCTATTATCATACCTCCTGGAGTTTATCTAAGGATTTAGAAATAAACGTTCAACATTGCTTTTATTCTCTCATTTTCACATTCAAGTCTTCAAATCCCTTACTGCTTATGTGGCCTTACCACTTAAATAAATATAACTTCTTTTTCCTTCGAGGATCACGTCCCTGACTCAATGAAACATCATGTATTTCAACTGATTGTTGACATAAACATTTATTTTAACTAGTTTATTAAAAGTCAATATCAATAAAGTATAAGAGTCAATTGAAGCTATATCACCTTGAAAAACCTGGAAGCACTAGATGGCCGTTTCGTCCTTGTGTGTGACTCCTTAGCAGTGCGCATCAACGATCCCGCCTCGCGAGATTTGTACCCAGGACCTATCAGTCTCGCGCTTTCAGGTTTTTCATGACGGTCTAGTTTTAATTGACTCATGAAATACAATGATTCATAACTCAGAGGCTGTGACTTGTGTTCTTGACTCAACTGGCTAGGACAGACAGCAAAGCAGGGCCAATCAGGGCACTAGGTCGTCCACTACGTGTTTTACGTGCCACTGCCACAGAAGCGATCGATAAACGCTGCTTATCAAAAACTTGCCGTCTCACATGTTACAACACTAAATTACTAATGATATCCACAAAACCACTCTCTGATTATAATAAAATCTATACTGAACGTTCATAAGCAAGAAAATTTTCTAATTGTCAGTCGAGAAACATTTGAGCTAATTATTTGCAGTATCAATCCATAAGAATACGATACAAAATATGTTTTAGTTAACTTAATAAAAAACAATAATTCATAGATAATGTATATTACTATATATAAGTAAAAGTCACTGATTATGACTACGTGAAATGAATGCTTAGAGACTTTGAATGAAATGTGTCACAATTATGAATGTTTCTGGTGCATTACAAGTTTATATTACATAAATTCAAATGAAAATTATTTTATTCCGATTGTTTGAAAACATTTTACAAAACAAAAACCCATATGTATCTATCTAAATTATAAATATATCAATATAATAAATGAATTTATACAACATATGACTTAATGTTGTAACCAAGACGTTGAGGCTTTATTAGATTTAAACAGCATAACTATTAGAATAATGATTGCTGTTTTGTTTTTATTTGCATTATTTTTGATGAATAGGCATTATTCGGACCCTGTTGAAATTATACAGACATAAAATGCCTCAGGTAATTGATAAAAAAATGCGATTACTTCAAGAAAAATTGGAAATGTTAAATAATTTTGGTGTGATGAATGTTGAGAAACAAACTCCATTTTATTTTTCCCGTAAGTTTACATTCATATTAATTTCTTACCTTTGGGAATTTTACTGTGCTTTTTACAGTCCATGGAATAATTTATGAAATATTTTTGTTTGTTTTTTTATTCAAGAATTATCCCTACAGTACCCAATGTTTTGTCTTTGACTTCAATTTCTTTGAATTACTTTATTCACAATTGATTGATCACTGGGCGGTGTCAAGTTCTTCTTAGTGCAGATTGAATACTATCGAACAAGTTGCAATGTGGCTACTAGTCTAGGTGACTCGACATTGCGTACACTATGTTGTGATAAGATGATGGTTTGAGGTAGACACCAGGAAACCCGGGCCCCGGTTTCCGTGCTCTTTGGCACTCATCAGCAAGGTGTACCCGTAATTTTGAAGTAAATGGTGTTTCCGTTTCACCCACCTTCACAGTCAGAGTCGTTACCACTGAGCTATCCGGGCCGCAACCGACCTCCTGTAGGACTGAGATGTACTCACAAATGACTGATCACTGGGTGGTGATCAATGTCGTGAGGGTCAAGGCCTTCTTCTCCATAGATTTTATTGGATGGTTCAATTTAGTGTTTTGTCTTATCGTTTGAACTAATCTCTCATTGATTTAATCATATATTGGGATAATCTTTTAATTTCTGGATATTGTCTTGTATTTAAATGTTTGTTCTTAAACTTATAGTTTCTATTATCTTGAAAAGTGTATTCATTTAATTACTGGACTTTCATGTGATAATTACATACAATACATGACTAGTGCGTCAATTCAACTAATATTTACCGAAGACGAAAATTTCACAAAACGAAAACTAGACCTTAAATAAAGCCAGAACGAACATGGATGCAGAATATTATGAATAGATTATATTTCGTGGTTTTATCATCTGCTGCTTACAGCCAAATATGTAATGAAGGGTTGACATCAGATTCATGGGATTAAAGAACTAGTAAAATGGGTTACGTAATAATTGAATGGGATTTGAAGACTTTGCAGAATTTAAGAGAATCGAGTGTGTGGAAATGTATGAGAGAACGGGTAGTTTAAGAATTCGGTAATGAAAGAGAAATGTAACGAAATAAACATTAACAAAATAGAACTAATGACCAAAAATTGAATTAAGAGGGTAGTGATAGGTTTATTACTGTCTCTTTTTGGATACATAAATCAGGTTTCAGTTTTTTTATCTCGATTGCTTCAGCAAAACGAAGAGAAGTAGTATTTTTTTATCTGCTATTAGTTTTAAAAGCATGAGGAATGTCAATGGTATGCCCGGTGTCAAGTAAATGTCGAACTATTGCACTGTTAAGAGCTCTTGTCCCCCGCAGTCTGAATTTCTTTGTAACATGCTCGGAAATGCCAAGATGTACTCTTCTTGATTCTAATGACAGATAATCTCTAACCTGTTCTTGCATATATATATAGTTATTATTTATAACCTTTGTCATTCCAATTCTTTACATTCACTTATGTCCATTATTGCATACTATATCTTACCTCAATGTAAAATTTTAATACATATTTGGTTGTAAGCAGCTGATGATAAAACCACGGAATATAATCAATTCGTAATATTCTGCATCCATGTTCCTTCTGGCTTCATTTAAATTCATGAAGGAAACTAGACCTTAAATTGAAATATTGATGTTTACGAGATATTATTTAGTAAGTTTCTTCAGTTCAGCTTTAAAATGAAATTAAATATCTTCAGAAAGCGAGCAATCATACATCTAGATGATATTCAACCTTCATTACATTTTTAGTAAATGTAGTTCAATACACCACTTTGTAACATAAACTGATTGAGTTATATCATTTCATTAAAATGAACTTTAAATATACCATATAAGAATCATAAATATGTTTCAGTGAAATTGCTTAAATAAGGTTTGATCATGCAATATAACACATTTTATTTAAATATATATATATATATATATATATATATATATATATATATATATATATATATCACAAATTCCATGGAACTTATTCACTTAGTCATAGTAACCAAACACGTAAATGATACATAAATAAACAAACTAGAGTTCTTTTTTTCTCTTTAGAACAATGGAAATCAAAGAAAACGTAATACTTTTTACCCAAGTTTCTTAGAATGATTTTTTCTATTTAGCTACTCACTGATCACTAATGTCAAAGTATATACACATATAGGGGGGGATAAAGAGGGAGAGGGATTATTCAGCTATAGCATTGTGTAATTATTTTTCAAAGAGACATAGTTTATGTATCTTCAAATAAATAAAATGATCTAACTTAAAAGGAAAGTAAACAGACTGATAGATTTATGGATGTCTTCACCTATTTTTTTCTTCAAATAAATTTGATTTATATTACAGTTATTTATACTATTCTATTCTTAGGTTTACGGCAAAAGAAAAGAGATCATATTTTAAACAACTTTCATCTTTATTATTTATGATCACAAAAATAAACTGAGTTCATCGATATTTTAATTTGCTTTGATAAGTATAATTCTGTTAATGTATTTTTCCTAGTATTATAAGCAAAGATGGATAGTCACAATTGATTGATCACTGGGTGGTGATCAATGTCATGTGTGTCAAGTCCTTATTTAGTGCAGATTGAATGCTATAGACTATGTTGAAATGTAGTCACCAGTCTAGGTGACTCGACACTGTGTGCACTATATACTGAGATTAGATCGATAGTGGCAGTAGTGGAATCCAGGACATGCGTTTCGTCCTATTTGGGACTCGTCACCTGGATGCTAAGTGGACAACACGATGGTGTTTGAAGCGAATGGTACTGAGTTCTAGTCCCAGAGTGAACACCTACTCTGAGATGCAGGTATATCCAACTAACGAGTCTCAAATGGGACGAAACGCACGTCCTGGATTCCACTGCTAGTCATTATCCATCTTTGCTTATAATACTTGTGAATTAAAGCAATATCGAAGCAATACGCACAATATACACATATTGCCAATAAAAGACTGATCAATTGCAGTCCTAAACAACGATAGGAAGATTCAAGTAAACAATACTAATTGAATTTATTTAAACTTCTTATGGAGATTTATTATGACTAGTGGTAATAAATTACTGTAATCCGGCCAACAAAGATGTGTGTTTTTTGATGAAGTTAATAGAAACTCTGTGGACAAAACTCAAATAGAAAATTTTTTTATTTTTTCATTAATAAGCGTGAAAAATCCCCCTATTAATTACTTCGATTTTATTCATTTGTTTATTTTGCGTGTATTAAATGATGATATTAATCACAGACTGACATTATCTAGATTATTAAAAGCCATAAATCAATAAATGGCTAACCTTTTCAAGCTATGAATAAATTAGTCATTTGTAAATAATTCTACAATGGACCACACAGAAAACTATCAGGTCTTATAATAATCTCATTACCACCGAATGACTAACTGAGCCGAATACTAACGATCAATAATGGTTGTCCACTTATACGAGCTTGAGATTAAAGTTATCTGAGATTAGGTGGTGGTTGGAGGTAGTCAACAGGAAACCCTCGACCCGGGTTTCATGCTACTTGGCACTCGTCAGCAAGGTGTACCTTTAATCTTGAGGGAACTGGTGTCGAGTCACCTAGATTGGTGGCCACATTTCAACATGGTCGATAGCATTGAATCTGCACTAAATAAGTACTTGACACACATGATATTGATCACCACCCATAGATCAATCAATTGTGATTAAAGTGATCTTTAACCAATAAATCTTCTAGTCTTTTGGAAATGTCGCTATTTTTTATATACTCTACTTATTACAAATTTCTCTTAAAATATATCTGCTGGTTTTGAAATAATCTTTGGAAAGTATATGTAATATTTTGTTTGTCAACTAACTAGACAGAGGTTAATTAGTTAAGATTAGGATAAGTGAAGAGATGTTAAATCTTTCAGTGCACGTTTGATTTTTCTTTTTCATAACAATAAGAATGTTTCACATTTTATCTAAACATATAAATCTGAAACTGTTATGCATCATATAAACATAACAGTAATATTTTTTCAGTTCATGATAAAGAGATTTCTTGGATGACACTTGGTGATGAGTGTTGTGTTAAATGACTTTTTATTGTTTTCTGAGGGAGTAAAGACTACATAAACTAATATTTTGTATTGGGTATAAAATATTTTAATGGTTGAAATCATGAGTCGATTAAAGCTAAACCACCATGGTGGTCCATGGTCTCCACAAAACCCCTCTCGATACTAATCAGCATATGCTCACTAGTGACTGGCTTCAAGAGATATTTCCTGGGGTTCTAGTGAGAAGTAGTGACCAATGGAGTTCAACCAGGTCTGTTGTGAGATAGTGACTCATTGAAGACAATGGTGGATGTGTCGCTCTATTTCGTGGATTATTTGAAGTTAGACATTAACATCGTTGGATGCCGGCTCAATGGTCTAGTGGTTAAGCGCTCGTGTGAGAGACTGATACGTCCTGAGTTCGAATCTCACGGGGCGGGATCATGGATGCGCAGTCCTGAGTAGTCCCACAATAGGACAAAACGGTTTTCTATGGTGGTCTAGCTTCAATTGGCTCATGATCATAACCACTGAAGTTACTATAATATCCACAAAACCCCTTCTGATATAAAATAATTCATGGTCAGATTACATTTTCTTTTATAATCGGAATTATTAAAATTCAACAGAAGTTATTGAGTGTTATTACATAAAGCCACATATATAAGTGAAACTATTCCATCTAAGCTGTTTAAATTTAATGGGCTTATTTTAGTACGTAGTTAGGGTGCCCGTATACAAGTGAAGCTCAACTGGCCTAATCAGCCGTTGTAATCAGTCGATACAAGATTTGTGTAACCATATTCTTGATGGTTTTTATTGACCATAAGGTACTGCTCTAAGTAATTTATTGAACTCAAACTGATCTCAGATTAAAATCATATAAATGTCATTTTTGTGAATTGTCTGATCAGTCAGTCGGAAGTGAGAAACCTGGCAGCAGAAGGCTAAGAAGTTCGA